TATATATATAAGAAACATGGTCATTTGATTTTATTTCAAATTACTTTATCATCATCATCATAAGGTAAAAAACCCTCATTCATTAACTTATTTGACGAATCAACGATTGTTGTTTCGGTGCTTTGAATGTGATGTTCGCAGTGAGCGGTAAACTCTTCATGTGGGGGGACAACACCGAGGGTCAACTGGGTTTGGGGAAGGAGATCCAGGTTTCTTCACCGCAGGAAGTCAGCGTGGGACGTCCTGTCAGCTGGGTGTCGTGTGGATACTACCACTCTTCTTTAGTGACAGGTGAGATGAAGGAAAACAACTTTATCCACTCATTTACTGAAAAAAACCCCATCTGGGAACAAGTCCAGGAATATTTTATAAATAAAAACTGCATAGAGATGGGACATTTTATCACCATATGACTGTATTTAAATTTTTTGATTTAACTTTTTTTTAGCAACTGGAATCAAGTTGAACTTATGAAATTTTCAGCTCTTTTAGTTCAATCCCTGAGTTTTTTTTTTTTATTATTATTCAGTCATTCATTATAGGGTTGGGCATAATCGTATTGTGTGCAATTAATCGTCGGAAAAACATTAATCGATTACTTTTTGGCACTTGACGATTAATACGATTAATGCCCCCCAGGCAGACTGACTTGAGATTTCCACGTTCGGTCTGGTCGGTGATCTTCTCCGCTTCAAATATGACGAACATAAAAAAATAAATTCTGTAATTTATTTATCTATCAACACAATTTAAAATTTGATGTATAGCCCGAAGTCTGTAATTTTGACAATTTAGAACAGATTTTTATGAAGAGCAAATCTTTCCCACTAAATTGGTCATGAGACCAGGACATAAGGGTGTCCAAAGACTCCAGGGGATTAATCGCCGAATTAATCATTATCGGCTAAATACCACAATTAATCGTGATTAATTTTTTTTGCCAATATCGCCCAACCCTAATTCATTATAAACATTTCCAAATTGAGCAGATGTCATTTTCTGAGACTTTTCTCTCTTAGATAATTAAACAAGATAGATAAAATGTTATTGTTTTTAAATACCGTGAAGCGTAGTGGCATTTTTTTCTTTTTTTATTGTTTTTGTGTTTTCTTTTTCTTGTGATGTGATTTCTACTGTTAAAGGTGACCTATTATGGGGATCCTACAACAATTTAGGATCCATCTGTGGGCTATACAAAACATGTTCATTTGATTTAATTCACTAAATGAATCTCAGATAATGAAATTTCAACTTTTCATTTCTGCCTGTTCTACAGCTATATTCACCTGTTGTTATGCATAAGTTGCTATGGAAACCCCCTCCCAACATTTTGTTTACGTTAGCTCTGCCCTCCCAACATGGTAGAAGTTTCCAAAGTACTCCATGGTGAAATTATTTACACAAACTACAACTTTCTTTGACAGTATTGGTAGAACATTGCCATCAAAAATAATAATAAAATGAATCCAGGCATATTCAGCAGAACAAACTATCGACCTGTGAAGAAGTGGGCGGAGCTCCGCCTTGGGTTGCCAGGTGAGGACCTGGAGTCTGGATAACTGTTATTGTGATGCCACAATAACGTGGTTTGGGAGCTAAACTGTTTCCAGATACTTAAAAATACATGTAGTTATTGTCAAATAATGGCTGGGTGCATTTTATTTATTTTAATTTATTTATTTTGGTGTTTGGGCTGCTTCTGGAAGCAGGACAGACCCCCCAAAAAGAGTTTAAAAACATGAAAATGTGAATTTTGCTGTGGTCACTGTAGTTGGTTGTTGTTAAAG